AGAAAGAGTTAAATGCCCTCTTCATGTCTGTTTTGATCTTGTTATAATTGTCAGCCCCACTTCCAGCTGATGCAGTTTGAATTTTAACAACCTGCACAGTCTGGTTAGGCTCTAAGCAGGATAATGTGCCATGTAAATAGCACTCAAGACTATCCATAGCACTTTTATTCTCAGACTTATACAGGAATATACATTTTCTTTTTTATACATGCACACACACTTTTATTTCTCCATCAGTACTAGCTTCTTTGGGGCTTTTGCCTACTAATTAGAGGAACCATTCTCTGAAACCAAAAAGGGAGAAATCTTCCATCTGTTTTCCAATAGGCATGATAGGGACAACTGGAAGATATCTCATCTGACCCCACATCCTGAAATTCCTTATTTCTCAGCCCAGTGCGGTTATTTTGGGGCCAATCCTCTGGCCACAAGAATGTATGAATGACCAAAGAAAAATTTGGAGCCCCAGGTCCAATGTCAGAAAAGTAGTCTGAGCTCATGCCTCTGAATTACCAGTGCTTTCCCTTTGTCCTTGCAGCCAGCATAGTTCTTTCTGCACTGGCAACAGCTTTGAAGTTGCAAGTGTAACTTTGGAGCAGATATGGGGAAGAGCATGGTTCTGCCAGGACCCATTCCTGGAGGAATGGGTGTAAATCACTTACATGGCTGAAATAAGACATATCTGGGGTTTGGAGGATGACGGAAGCATGGAGTCAAACTCTGTGTTCTTCCCATCTTCTATTGGATGCCTGTAATCCTCCAAAATATAGACAGCCAGTTTGGATGGCAGCCTTCGTATTTTAAAGTCATGCACCAGTGCTGTATCAGCTCACTGGCTTTACATTTCTTGTTACTTAAATTTAGTTGTTGCCTTAACCGTTTTATAAATTCCTTATGCTTCACAAGCTAGAATTTCTGAGTTCTAATTATACAGAATTATAAATGCTTAAGCACTTTATGCTTACGGTGCTCTTCTGTAAACACTCATTGTACACACAATTCTGCTGACATTTGCTCTAATTTAAAGTAGCAGAATTACAGAACAGAAAATAGTTCAGCAATCTGCCTTTGCATTTTTCTGTTGTCATGTGCCTGAAGAATACCACATTAAATGTTTGAAAAACCCATCTTATTCTATCTTGAGTTCTGCTTAAAATTCCAATGTGTACTTGAAATGTATGGGGATAAGAAAGAGTAAGACAAAACTAAAGTGAAAAATGATACCATAAATTTTGTACTGGAGACAAACTATCATTCTAATGGCTTCTCACCATTCTTCCGGATCTACTGGTGGTTTCCTGACTGACCAAGGTAAATGTAACCCTGAGAGCGTGAAAAGAACAGCTGGATTCCTTGTAGCATAGCACTGACAAGGAATCTGCTATAAAACACAAAGTATTCGTTTGCTTTGGGGATTTGTAGTAGAAAGCAACATTTCATTTAGCTCATGCCACTTACTGAAAGAGCCACAAAAGATGAACTTTTTTCTCTCCACTATAGAAAACATGCTACAGGACAAGATTGCACTATTATTCATGATCCAGCCATGTATTTGTGCCAGAGTGGGGGCTGGGGGGAGTCTGTTGAGCAAGATCCAGAATCAGCAGATGCAAGAAGATAGAAAGCTAGGGAATATAATCATTAAACAAACAAATCAACAAGCAAAGTCAGAAAAAACTTCCTCTCTAAATGAACATAATGGGGAAAAATTTTCATAACCTGTGAAGTATACCATTTAAAAAGGCAATTAAACATGTGTGCTGTCGTGTCATGAGCAATACCAGATCATTTTAGCACTATTCTATCAGAACCTAAAAAGAGAAAGTAGAAACGAGCTGGATTCCACTATTGATTCAGAGGTTTTAAGGGAGACACCAACGCTACCGTCTGGTCCAGAATTATTGGATGAATTTCAGTTATTGCGGCCCGATGATGTGGACAAGGTGCTTGGACGAGTACGTCCTACCACTTGCCTTTTGGACCCTTGCCCGTCTTGGTTAATAAAGGATTCCAAGCACGGGATTGGAACCTGGATCTTGGAAGTGGTTAACGCTTCTCTGAGGGAGGGTCGGGTGCCTGCCCCTTTAAAGGAGGCGGTAGTCCGACCGGTCCTGAAGAAGGCATCACTGGATCCAGGGATGGCCACTAATTATAGACCAGTGGCCAACATCCCGTTTCTGAGCAAGGTGTTAGAGCGAGTGGTGGCGGGACAACTCCAAGCACTCTTGGATGAAACTGATTATCTGGACCCATTTCAGTCCGGCTTCAGACCCGGGTATGGTACTGAATCTGCCTTGGTCGCCCTGTACGATGACCTGTACAGGAAGAAGGACAGGGGGAGTGCGTCCCTGTTGGTTCTCCTGGACCTCTCAGCAGCTTTCGATACCATCGACCATGGTATCCTTCTGGATAGGCTTGCGGGATTGGGGGTCAGAGGCACCGCCTTGCGGTGGTTCTGCTCCTATCTCAACGGCCGATTCCAGAAGGTGGTGCTGGGGGACTATGGCTCTGCGCCATGGCAGCTTTACCATGGAGTACCGCAGGGGTCCATTTTGTCCCCTTTGCTGTTCAACATCTACATGAAATTGCTGGGAGAGGTCATCAGGAGGTGTGGGCTGCGGAACCATCAGTACACTGATGATACCCAGCTCTACCTCTCGTTTTCCACCAATCCAGGTGAGGCAGTGGCTGTACTGAACCGGTGCCTGGCCGAGGTAATGGGCTGGATGAGGGCCAATAAACTGAAGCTCAATCCAGACAAGACGGAGGTCCTGTTGGTTGGCAGTTCGGGCTTCGGAGAAGGTGAATTGAACCTTGTACTGAACGGGGTTGCACTCCCTCCTAGGGACAAGGTCCGCAGCTTGGGAGTGCTCCTCGACCCGGAGCTTTCACTCGAAGCTCAGGTGACAACAGCGGCGAGGAGCGCTTTCCTCCAGCTTCGGCTGATTCATCAGCTGCGTCCCTACCTGGAGTACGACTGCCTTGCAACAGTGACTCATGCGCTGGTGACTTCCCGTCTTGACTTCTGTAATGCGCTCTACGTGGGGCTACCCTTGAAGACGGTCCGGATACTTCAGTTGGTTCAGAATAGAGCTGCCAGGCTGCTGACGGGGACTGGACGTTATGTTCACATGACTTCAGTTCTCCGTCAGCTTCACTGGCTCCCCATTGAAGTCCGGGCCCAATTCAAGGTGTTGGTAATGACCTATAAAGCCCTAAACGGCTTGGGTCCTGGTTACCTGAAGGAGCACTTACATCCATATATGTCCAGTCGCCCCCTGAGATCGGCAGGAGAGGCCCTTCTCCGGGAGCCCTCCGGGAGAGAAATTAGGGTGGGTACTCGGAGGAGGGCTTTCTCAGCGGTGGCGCCTAAGTTATGGAATGCGCTCCCCAGAGAGGTCCGCCTGGCGCCGTCGTTATTTGTTTTTCGGCGCCAGGCAAAGACCTTTTTATTTAAGCAACATTTTAAATGTTAATACTACTGAATTTTATCTGGCCAGGGCAGCTTAATTTATATTGTGTGTTTTAAATTATTATGATTATTTTTATATGTATATTTTAACTTATTGGTTTTATTTATTGTTGTAAACCGCCCCGAGGCTTCGGCGAATGGGGCGGCATAAAAATGTTTTAATAAATAAATAAATAAATAAATAAATAAATAAATAATAGATTATCAATGTGTAACTCAAGCTGAGTAATTGTAGACCTAGGGGCAGTCCAGGAGAGACTGCAAGTTTGTGAAAAGCCTGACTCCAGAAAGAGGCATCAAATATTTCTGATTACTTGCTGCTGACAACTAATTCAACTAATAGTCTAAGATGTTCCTTGTTGCCTCTAGTTAAGTTGCTATGAGCATGTAGATTGAACCAAAAGATGTATTATGCTAACCATCTACTATGTGAACTTTAAGTTGTCTGATTGTTTTGGGGACTAGTACAACATCCTTTTCATGGGCTGTGAACTCCCAAGAGCCCATTCTTTACATCATTTTTATTTGCTGGTTAATGTCTGCTGCAGGACCCAAATTGAAATGAAAGTAGTTTGCCACTGCCAAGAGAGAAGAAAGCATTACAAAATAGTGGGTAAGATGTAGATTGGGATTTACTGATAGATCTGTGGGTAATTTCAAATAGGTTTGCAAACATTTCTGACTCTTAGTTGTTTAACAGTAGAAATGGTTCCAAACTCAAATTATACTACCAAAATGAAGAGAGCTGAGTGATTTTTTTTTGTAGCATGGCTATGAATTCTGCCCAGTTCTAGTATTCAAAACACTTTCCTGAACTCAAAATTCTTTATAACTAAGTGAACACCTTTTCCACCTGACTCCAGCAGGTGGTTGTTGAGATCTAGTTAAAAAAACAATAACAATTGATCCCCCAAGTCTGAAATTACCCTTATTGAAGGATAACTCCAAGTGTGACTTCCTATACTTAGCAAATCCCAGAAGCAGTTGCAATAATCCTTCTCTATCCTATTAAAGTATTAATCATAGAGTTATTTAATTAATTTTTCTGCTACAGAGCTCAGATATCTTTAGGAAATTAATATATATCCTAACTTCTATACTGACATGGATGAAAACTGTATTAGAATAACCATTTGAGATTTCATGCAAATCGGTCCCTACATGTAAACACAGTGTCATAATATGTCAATGGAAGTTGGTGCCTCTCATGAATTTTGTAACCTGATTTCAATATCACAATGAAGGCTACAGGACAAAATATGGCATATAACAGTCATCTGGCCTGCATTTTTGTATCTGGCCTGTGAGGAATTTGGAATTTCTATCACTAAGAAGAAAATGATCCAATTTTGTTTTAATGCTATGTGAGATATGGTTTCTTTAGCTATATTTTGTTCTCCAAACAGTTGACTTAGGTTAATTGGTTGATCAGTTTATATCAAATTACAATTTTGTTGTACTTTGCAAATGGCCCCTTTGTTATGGCTCAAATAGAAATGAAGCTTTGCTTGGTCTGCTTTGTTTCTAGGTCAACATGTTTGTGGAAGGATTCCATGATGCTGTTGTCCTGTATGTCCTAGCTTTAAGGGAAGTTCTGAAGAATGGCTTCACAAAAAAGGATGGAGAAAAGATTGTCCATCAGACATGGAATAGGACATATGAAGGTAAGAGCAACTGAATGTTCCATGTGACATTGTTATATTCACATCTTGGCAAAGGTTGTAAATTTTTTACTTTTGAC